ATGATTTTGGACCTTTCTGTGAATTTTCAAAATTTTTGAATTTTTTTTTATTTTTTTTTGGAAAATTTTTTTTAAACCGAGAAATGATTTTTTTTTATTTTCTGGAAATTTTTGTGAATTTTCCAATTTTCCAATTTTTATTGATTTTAAAAAAAGTTCAAATTTTTTTTTATTTGTATTTTCTGAATTTTCGAAATTTTTATGGATTTTCTGAAAATTTTTGTATTTTTCTGAATTTTCTGTAATTTTTTGAATTTTTTAAGAAAATCTAATTTTTCATGATTTTTGTGATTTTTTTAGAATTTTCTAAATTTTTTAATTTTTTATTGATTTTTTAATTTTTAATTTTTTGAATTTTCCCGAGAGGGACGAACCGGAACGGATCGGTTCAGACCGGTTCGGCCGAGACCGAACCGGCCGTAGCCGATGCCGGCTCCGATTGTCTTCTCTGGCAGGCGCGGTGCCAAAACGGCACCGTTTTACTCCTTATTCATGGTGACATTTCCACAAACAGTTGGTGTGCAACATTTATGGTTTTTTGTTCTCAAGACCGCTGGTTCGGGCTCATCGCCGACGAGCCTCCGGCGACCTTTTGACCATTCTGATTGCACCATGGTGATTTCCACACATCCTATTTTCAATCTAACCTATTCGGTACGCCGGTGGACGTTCACCGGCCGGTGAAAAACCGGTCCAAAATCCCTGACTTCCATCCGTTAAAATCTTCATTTTCCAGAACTTAGAATGGATATCCTACTCGCCCTAGCCGTCTAGATCGAGTCTAATAACTAACAAACCAACAAAAAAAGTTCAGAGAGACTGACTTGAATGGCCTGAGGCCACGGTGATGCTCCGGCGAAGCTTCAAGTTTTCCGGCGAGGTGGGTTTAATGCACGGACCGACTCGGTTCAAGTGTTTTTGATGCCCAAAATGCAATCAAATCACAGCAACAATGAGTAAAAACTAATAATGAGCATCAAAATACCAAGATTCGACAACAAAATCACTCAAACATGCACATCGAAGACAAAACCGAATTCTGGAAATTTTTTGATAAAACTGATTGGGAACGATTTTCACCTGGTTCGTTCGACGATCAAAAATTTTTTTTGAACTTATTGGGGCTCCAAGAATTGTTCCTTGACTCTCATTCTTCACCTTGGTGGTCTCTGTCTCGCTGGAACAGGTCCTAATCGACGGGACAACGCTCAGTTTCAGGCCATCACGGTCAGATTTTCCCGGCTGGCACCGCGAGGGGAGGTCACGGCCTACTCGCGATTCGCCGGCGCCCCGCCGTCTAGGGTGGCGCCGAAAACTCGCGGAGGGACCTCTGACCCTCTCTCTCTAATTCTCTCTCTTTGATTTCGCCCCTTTCTCTCTCTCGGGAAAATCGTCGAACGGGTTCCCCTCTTCTTCTTCAGTTTTTTATCATTTTTCTTCTTCGATTTCCCGCTCAAAATTGGTTGAAACCGACTCCCAATCGGTTGGGGTCATTAAACCGTGTCAGTTGGACATTTTCCAGCTGTTCAAATCGATCAAAACGTGCTAAAATAGCTAGAAATGTTTGACGAAGTCGCGGGTCTGAGTTGGTTTTTTCTGGGTTTATCGCGGGTTGGGTGGCCGGGTGAAGAAGATGAACTGTTCGGGTCGGGTCGACCCACCTGACCCGGAAGTTCCGGTTTTGCATTAATTCGAGAATTAAACCCAATTTCCACCAAATTTTTGAAATTAAACCTCAAAATTGAATTCCCATCATATTCCGAACCCAAACATATAATTTTCCCCAATTTTTATTATAATTGTGCCCACGATTTTCTCATTTTTATATTCGGGTTAATAGGGTTTTGTTCAATTTGAGGTCCTAATGACCTGATTAGGCAAAATTGATGACAAAATTGATTTACCCACCCATGATTAACCCTAGAAATGATAGTCTCACATTTCAAAAATTTCATTTTGGGCACGATTCCCAATTTGGGTTCAAAATTCTTAATTTTCAATCAAATTTTGGGGATTTTTTATTTTTATGTCAAATTGTGCAATTGGACAGACCATTATGCAATTAAAGGTCCCAGAATCAATTTTTGTGAAGATACTATGACTTAAAAATGTCTAGAAAAAATTTAATTTAATTTTTTGTTCAATTCGAGTTTAGTTTTGCCCAATTTTGGGAAAAACATATACCCGATTGAGATTTTATAAAATTTACAGTGTATTTATGAAATTGGATTTAAAATAAGACTAATGAATATTTTTATGGAATTTTCTGATGCCATTTACTATTTTTCTTGATTTTCTTGCTTATTTTGACTAAAAGAAATTAAAAAAAATGCAGAAAAATGCTTAAAAAATTATTTTTTGGTTTAGAAATAGGTTTCTAGGCTTGGCCAAGATCCCTAGACCTAATTTTGAAATTTTTGAAAATATGACAAAAATGAGCTAAAAATTAGGTGTCAACAACCGAGAGAGATAGCGAGGTCGCGAGTGTAACCTAAGGTCGGAGGACCTCTCGTTGGTGACCGTCACGCCCTAACCACGGCCAGCGAAGCTCCGACACACTCTGTTTCCCGCGGTAGGTCCCTGCTCGAATTCTCGTCGTGTTTTACTTTTGTTAGATTCGAGGTCGATTTCCCGAGGATTCTAGCTCGGGGGCATGCGAGGTGACCAGACGGAGTCTGATCTACTATGTTCACCGACGTTCGTCACCCCCGAGCCGGATAGGGAGCGCCGCAAACGGCCGCCTCTCCTTTCCCTGTTCTAGCCTTCATCCTCTGTTTTCTTGGGCTCACTGGCCAGAGCACGCGGCCGTCCGGCTCGCGCGAGTTCCTGCCAGTGATACCCGTGCTCGATCCTGCTTGTTTATGCTTCTTTCTGTGTGAATCCCGGACACATTTGAACCTTGATCGAGTCGGAAATTTCTGGTTTTTGCCATGCACTCAAGCTATTTGATGCTTTGTCGAAATGAGATCTGCGCGTTGTTTTCCTTTGAGCGTGATGCGTTCTGTGTTTCTCCCTTCATTGGCGGTGTCTTAGTTGCATCCGGGCTTAGGGCGGAAGATCCGGTGTGTCGCCGACGAACGAGAATGGTCCTCGTTCGGCGGCCGAGCAAGGGCTCGGCCACGGAGCTGTGAGCCCTGGCCTCCTCGGTCAAGGCGTGTCCAACAGCGGCCGAGCACGGGCTCGGCTGCGGCGTCGCGAGCCCTGACCTCTCCGGTCAGGGCGTGTCTAACAGCAGCCAAGCACGGGCTCGGCCGTGGAGCCATGAGCCCTGGCCTCCCCGGTCAGGGCACGTCGCGCAGCGGCTGAGCACTGGCTCGGCTACCGGAATAGAGACCCCGGCTGTAGAGGCCGGGGCTCGGAGAAGCCGGCGTTCCAACCGGCCGGCGAAGGCGAGACGGTAGGCGCGATGTCGGGCGGTAGCAAGTCGGGGCGGCGGCTGCGTGGCAAGGAGCCACCCGCCGCCGGTCGCCGGCTTTAGGGCCGGCCTCGTCGGGGTGGCGACGCATGCGGAGGCAGCCGCGAACCGGGTTAGGCGAGTCGGGTCATGGGCACTAGGGTTTCCAGCAAGTCGGTTCGGCAGCCGGTAACCTAGTCGGGGAAGCGGGTCACAACCGGGTAGGGTTTTTGTGTGGTGTTTGGGCTTGGTTTTAGGGTTTATTAGGTCTTGGGCTTTTTTTAGTTTAGAATTAGAATAGTTTTTTAGGTCTTGGGCCATTTCGTGAGTGGGTCGGATTGGTCAATTTGGGCTGGAGTGTTATTTAGGTTTTATTTTCTTGTTGGGCTCTTGTTTTTAAAAAAGAATTTTGGGCCGGGCCCTTTCTAATTTTTTTTTAAAAAAATTAGACCGGGCTCAATAAATGAGCCCAGTTCGATTGCGGACCCGGGCCGACGTGCTCGGGTAAGTCCTTATCCGGTTCGGATGTGGAGATCCGACCCGGGTCCGTTTAATTTTTTTTTTTAAATATTATATTATTATTTTAATATTAAAAAAAAATATTATTTTTAAAAAAATAAAAAAAAAATTAGAAAAATTTCGAAAATCAAAAATTGGAAATTAGGTTTTAAAATTGGTTTTCTCTCCCTTTTTGTGTGATTAGCTTATGTTTGATTGCACCTCGTTTGATTCGCGCGCTTTGAATTGCGCATTTAATTTAACCTCGCATGTGGTTGATTATGCACGTTAGGTTCAGGTATTGGTTGTTGCTTCCTTTAGCTTGGTTAGGAATGAATTCTTGAGACTCCTAGTTAGTATGAACATGTTAGGTGGTAATTAAACAGGATTAGGTACCGAAATGGCACTAACTGGTCAATTAGTGTAATCAAGTCCCCGTGCCCATTGAATCTCTGGTTCGTAGAAGTGAAATATTTCTCCCGTGCTTTACTTGGGTGTCTAATCGACCCACCAAAAACTGATTAGTGGCGACTCCTAGATGAAATTGATTTGCATATTAACAATCTAAACCTAAGTCGCGAATTGGTATGAGTTTGGAAGAACTCGAGCTAGGTTTAACTTAGTAATCCATTAGCCAAACCCCTTAGGTGGCGAAGCCGGTTCGGGGAGGTCGCGACATTTATGTTTTACATAACTAGCAAACAGAACCTCAGAGCCAAATGTCACATGACTAGAACATGATCGTAGACCCCCTACTTCCTTACAAACAGAACCTCTCGCAGATCCAGCACGTTATCGGATCGGCTACCAACGACAACAAGGAAGATACGCAGCAATACCAATTCAGGGGAGATCTTAACGATATGATGATCCATGGTGATTACAGATTTAATTCACAAATATACTACTTAGATGATTTAGGCAAAACGAACTTATAGTTTAATCGCGCAGCACATATACAGGAACATTCCTCAAATTTGCACACTGATAAAAAAACACATGGTATACATATCAGTAGAACGATCTATATGCAGGATTCTATCGACAACTCACTTCCATATCATCACAAAGGCAACACAGTAATTTCATATCATCAAAAAAGCCTCAATCGATGCCAATTTTCACAGAAATACGACATTAGATTTCAGAACCTAAAGCTATAGCCAAGTCTCTGTCCTTTTCCTTTTCCTTCTTTCGCTTCTAGAGTCTCTGTCCAATCCACAATTAAAAACCCAGAACCTAGAGCTATGTTCTCTATCATCAAAGTTCGACATTACATAGTATTTACACTAATCCAGACCTGGATAATAAGGAAAACCGGTGTCGTTGAGCCACTGGCTACCTTGAATGAAAGAGTCCACAGTGAACTGTCTTGCCACTGTCGAGTTGCTAATAACATGGTACCCGGCCCATTTCACTCGGCCGCTCGTGTTTGAACCCGGGCCTCTGTTCTGGTACTCCCCATAGTAGAGCGTGTTCAGCCCAACCGTGCCGTTGTACTCCAACCACCCCGCTGGGTCGACCAGGTCGTCGATGTACGATTGCATTATCACCGTTGTCGAGAACTCCTTCCATGGACGGCCCAGGAATGTCTGAAAGGACGACTGTACAGGGATAAGGTCTGGTGCGGCTGTGAAGTTGCAGCCGAGGAACGACATCCCGGTAAGCACGTTCAACTTTTGTCGGCCCTGGGCGGTGAACACATTCTTCTGTTTCTCGTCTGGCTTGCGTGCGAACAGGTTGCAATTTTGGAATACTACCGTCGCATCTCCAAATACAAAATCGACCGTCCCGTATATGTCGCAGTCGCGATAAAACTGGTGACCACCGTCCTCACAGAGCGTATCTTGGTATCCCAAGAAGCTACACTGGAAGAATGCTGACTTATCTGAGTTGCTCCGGAAAGCCACGGCCTGCTGCTTGCTTGACCCCGAAAAATTTTCAATTGTGATCCCCTTAGCCAGAAATCCATTGCCCTCGACAGCCGCGAAGCGATGAAAATGACATTAAATGTCGTTGATTTAATTAGGTTAACCTACTTGAGAGCAGCTTGCACAAAAGACATTTAAGATTGATCTGTCAGCCAATTACCCTTTCCCATATTTAAGCACCGGCTACAAATTTCTCACTGACAAGCGCGGAGAGTTACAAAGCGATAGTCCAAATTAATCTTTCTCATACAACTACAAGTTAAAACCAAAACTTGAACATTTGATCCATTCCAAGTGCATAAATTTCACAAGTAAATGCATAATACAAAGTAAAAATTTTACAGAGCCATCACATGCTATAACTTAAAAGGATTTGCAAGAAAAATCTTTTGAACTTGAAAATTGGGTGAGATATGGTAAATTTAGGCGTGGACGTATTTAAAAAAGCATGTAATAGAATAGAGTTCTGAATTAGAGACCGACATTATGAAGTACATGATGAACTTTTGAGTATTGAGTCATCCACTCAGGTTGATATATTCTCGGCTTTTATTTATTTTCTTTTTAGGTACGAATGCTACATGACATAAATGTTATTTGCCAATAAGAAGTTAAATAGTAAGGTAAAGATTTGCATAATCAATAAAGATTTCCTATTTTAGAGTAAATTTTTTTTCAGTTTTACCAAACTATAAGAAACACCTTAGTGTTGAAAAACAGTATATTAATAATGTAAACGTAGTGACAACTGAAAAATATAGTAAACAAAATAACAAGAAACATAGTGAATGTAGGAGACATACAAATTAGGAGCAAAGTCATAAAGTTACTTACCAAAGTACAAACGGTGGCCGATCATTAAGTAGAGCAATTTGTCTTTTGATTTAGAATAAATATATATTTTTCCTAGTTGATTAGATACTGAGATTTAAGAACTTACTGACGGTGGCTGATCGGTAAGTGTTCCATCCATCAACATAGTTTCGATTGCCCTTGATCCAAGTCTTCCCAATTCCATCACCTACGAACATATGGTTGGTCTTCGTAGTATTGACCATGACATACTCCAAATATACGCCCTCCTTAATATAGATGACAAACCTGTACAAAACACGAAAATTGGTAAACAAGGAAGGTGAAGGTTTCATAATTTGAAATATAATTAAAATTTAACATAACAACAAAGAGATTAATAGAAATTCATTTTCAAAGTTGCCAGTAAAAGGAAAGTGAACAAAGTAATGAGAGAAATACAATTTCATCTTTGTTGATTTAGTGTTCTTTTATTAGTTATACTTATTCCTTCTTATTCATACACACCTCTCCCTACATTAATAAAAACATAGTAAGGAAGCCTTTTCATTCCAATATTTCCGTTCCATTTTATTCGAATTTGCCAACACCAAAATGGAGAGGAATGAGGTTTCATTTCCCCTTTTTATTCCAAGCGGACAATGTCATTTGTTATCTGAAAGGAAAAAAAAGAGAAAATGAGATTAGCTAAATGTGCAAAAGGTACAAAAATACCTGATCTTGCTATTGCTCGGAGCCGCAGCCACAGCATCATTGATAGACGTGAAATTTCCGGAGCCGTCCTTTGCTACCACAAGATCAAACATTTTCCGGAGGTCTGGGTAGGGAGCGCCTTGGGATGTGGAGCGAGTGGCTTGGAGGCGGCCGCGGGGAGTTGTGGTGGCGATGAGGTTGGGCAACAGCGAGAGAATGAAAAAAACAGTGATCGGGAGGTATACTTTCAACGTGGACATGGCTAACTGTGTTTGGTACGTATTGATCTAGTTCCTGTATTCATATTACAAGAGCATTATGTTAGAGAGATATATCATAAATCCTCTAATTAACAATTATAGTCTACAAGGAAAAGTGCTAGCAGTAAGAGATATATCATAAATCCTCTAATTCACATATTCCAAGGTAACTACATCTTTAATGTAAAAATCAGCTAATAGTGTCGCGGTCGGGTTGACCTATTCGTAATTACCATTATGTTGACACAACTGCGAACACGACTCACCGCCTCCATTGTTGGCAAAAAACACAAGGAGATACGTACCGTACGTGTATCGTTAATACAAGTATAAACAATGAATGATTGCTTTAGGGGTACTTGTTAAGTAGCTAACTACAAAAATATTATAATTTTCAACGCATTGACTGTTATTTTTCCATATCTTCCTTAACTTTTCAAACGAATTTAACATTCTCATCGTCGCAAAACAACGCATAGAAATGGGCATAGAAATGGGCAAGATTGAGCCACAGGAAAGCAGCATTATATCTTGACTAAATCGTCAAAAAGTTAGATTGCATCAGGTCCAGTTTGGTAGCAATACAATGCAATATGTTTCTAGTTAATTTCCCAGTTATGACTAAAGCCTTTGCATTACCAAAGTAGTAGAAGACATGCGCTATTGTCTCCCATATCACCCCCAAGCCATCCAACACACGACTGCCGAATTCATCTTATAGTAACCCAGCAGGTACATGATGAGGCATTCGCCGCAAAACCATTAAAAGCCTTCTACCATGAGCACGGCCGTGAATAATCAATTATTGATTACAGACTAGATGATACTGGCAAAACTTGCAGAGTAGCTGCACAAGACCGAAATGACCAGAGTGGAAGAGTACCAGGGTCTCGCAACACCATGATCGATAAGATTACACAGTAAACCTACCCACAAGCTAGACCTATTCACAAGTACCAGCAGTCATCAAGAGTAAACGAAGAATAAACATCACATGAAACGCACGAATCCGCCCACCAGATTGAAAGAACACAAGCAACCAAGCCCATTCAAACTCAAACTCATGAATCTGTAGTGCTAGATGAGGGCGTCCAAGTGATAGAAGCGAAAATGAAGAAGATTGAAGACAGAACTCACCGTAGTGGTCGATCCCAACACTGCCTGCTCTATACGGTTTGCGAACCCAATTTCTGCTCTCTTCTTCTTCGTTTTTCTAATGATTCTTCTCCCTTGATTTCATGTTTAAGTTGATCGCGATCCGGTAGGTTCCCCACTTCCATACCGTCATTTTTGGGTGGTGAGACTTGATAAATATGGCGACGAGATCAAATTGATGAAGTGGTATATTTTGGGAAAGAATAAGCGGTTCAAACTTTATCATTATATTCTATTTAGGTCTATTTCATGCGTGTATTATCTTAATACATGCCCTAGAAGGAACCGGGGAAAGAGCTTTCAATTAATGTTCGATTGTTACAACTTATTATAGAAAGCAGGAATTTTCTGTAACGTGATATTTTTAAGCATAGCACAACATAATGGAAGGTGATTTTCCTGGAATTAATTCCTAGGATCGAAGGAAGAAGCGAAAGACCAGCTAATCACAGGAAAGCGTGTGCATGTGTCACCATAGTCTCCATCATTCCAGACATATATAGATCAAGGTCATAACTCTCTCTATCTCTAGTTGAATTTTTCAAGTGAATACGACAATGTGGATTTTGTTTTTCTTCACAAAATCTGCTACAACCTATGTGTTAGTAACAGACGCGGAAAAAACAACTACAGAACACAGGGATTTACGTGGTTCGATCACAAGGTGATCTACGTCCACGGGCGAGGCAAGACAAGATTCCACTATAATCAAAGAGAGTACAGTTTTTATAAGTCGAAACAACGACAAAAGCTCACGGCTCACAAAACTCTCCGAAAACAAAATTCTCTCACTATCCAATGAAAACCCTAGCCGCAGTATAAATAGTGCTCCCAAATTTTTTTTTCTTGAGGGCTACGCCCCCGAACCCCCCAAGACATTTGTTCGCTTTCTCCAGCTCGAGCGGACAGCTATAGAGATTTGTTTGCTTGCTACGAGTTGGGCCTATCGGCCCAACCCTCCGCGTCGCGAACTAAATCTCAATTTTTTCTCCACTTTCGGGTCGCACAAAAAATATGTCGAGTCAGGTGATAAGCCGGACCGAGTACATAAAATTCAAGACATATTGAACACTCTGTTATTCGAGTGATGCACATAGACACGTTAAATCAGAGATGCTCGTGCTCATTTTTTATAATTTCGGGGCATTACGTGACAGTAATAATGTTTCCGGAAGTGATGTGTGAAATGTAGTATTGGGGGAGTCGAATTTGACTGAGGAAAGGATTAGGGATTTATAGTTGTTGAGATCGATGAATAGATCTCGGTTGAAAGCCTTTGAAATGTTTGTAATGGTATGGCACCTGTAAGAAGTATGATAAAATGCATTAGGGTGCCATAGAAATCCTCGAGGGACCATAGAAATCCGCTAAACTTAGGGGTGCTTGATTCAAACATTGTATATTGATTTCAATCACACAAAGCACTAAACTTTTTGTTTTTCTTTTGTGATTGCCACACCGTGACCAGGATCCGATTAATTTTATGACCAAATGCTAACGTGGTGTGCACGTGGCACCGGCATGAAATTTAACCTCTACCATTTGTCATTTCTAGCAAAGGAAGAATGGGTTGAGAGTGGCAACACCCTGCCATCTCCGGCAAAGGGTCTAGCAACCATCTACCGTGGACACAGTCCTGATCCAATTCGCAAACCGAACCGGACCAGAGTGACTGGTTCGGGGTGGTTCCCGATTCCCATAATGTGGAATTGGAGGAAACCAATCCGGCTGTAGGTTCCATGAGCGGAGTCGAACAAGGGAAACTGGCTACCCTAACCCCTAAATTTTCAATGTAATAAATAAAAGAGGGACCGGCGTCTCTCTTCTAGACTATGCCCTTCAGATTTCCCTCATCGTCTTCATCAATCTCAACGATTAGTTTGGATTGCAATTGCCGAAATTTACCCCATACTTTGCCTTTGATGAACGCGGAGACAAGACGAACGATAATTTGCGGAAGATGTTTAGGGAAATACAAAATAGAAACAAATATGTAATGCAGAAAAGATTTAGAAGGAGAAGAAGAGGTAGAAATGAGACACTAAGATCGAAAATAGACAGAATAAAGGAAGATTCCAAGTGAGGCTCTAGTAAACAAATCGATAACATATGTTGACAAGCAATCATCGGCCATTCGAAACTCTTTCACACATAAGTCACCGAAGGCTTCCACCAGTTTTAGGCTCTAGTTACAGATGGTATGGGCACGTCATCAAACAAAAGAGGTAACGATTTGCATAGTTTACAGCTTGAAGATCAGCCGCGTTGTTACGGTTCAGGTAATCCGACGTGGGGGAGTGCATCTTAGAATCGCTCGGGTAAGTGGATCGGTCGAATCACGTTAAAGTCGGCCCGGACACCACCCGACCACTAAACCCCCCCAAATAAGAAGAGAAATTTGCGCTTGCTGCATCTATCTCCTAATTAGACTGACCTTCCCATTATATAATCTTCCTTCAAAAGCCAATTTCGCCAGTTTCTATTCTGGTCCTTGAAATTTAATACGAAGAATTTAAATCCTAGGCTTATAGAGACTGAGTCAACAAGTGGAAGCCCAAAGAGTCCACCAACCAACCAAAAAAAGAAAATGAAAGAAGAGAGAAAAAGACAGGAAACTTCATACGACTTACACCTCAATCCATAAAGAGAGTCAATCACTTCAGTGTACCTCAAGAGAAGGTGATATTGTTAAATGTATTTTGCTGCTTTGATCAATTCAACCCCGCTAGATACAACTACAATTCATTTGCTTGGGTTTTACATCCTTCCTCATGCCCTTTCTCCACAATTCAATTGATAGAACAGTTACTCATTATGGATCACAAAGGGGAATATTGGTTAATAATTATTTTTTTATTAGCATAGACCACATTCCAACTAAATTCTCAATTATGGGTCAAGTTTAAATGTATAATAAGGCTGTTTTGTCACTCAATTTTCACCCCCCTTGGAATAATCAATTTGAGCATCCACTACTTGGCATAGAAGCATATAGGAAAAATTGTTTAATTAGTTCTAAATCCAATGCACGGATGTCAATTCAGTCCTAAACTTTCAAATTTTGCCAATTTTTTCCTAAACCTTTCACTACAAAAAAACACGAAATTTGCGACGAACATTTTTCCGTCGCAAATTTGCGACGGAAAATGTAATCCGTCGCAAATTTGCGACGGTTTTATTTTCCGTCGGAAATTTGCGACGGAAAATGTAATCCGTCGCAAATTTGCGACGGAAAATATAATCCGTCGCAAATTCCGTCGCAAACATTCGTCGCAAATTTCCGACGAAAAATAAAACCGTCGCAAAATCCGTCGTAAATTTGCGACTACATTGTAAGTCCGTCGCAAATTTGCGACGAAAACAAACGTCCGTCGCAAATTCGTAGTTTAACAGCCCGTGATATTCCAACCCTATCTCTCTGTCTCGCTCTCTCTCGCTCTCTCTCGTTTTTCTCCTTCTTTCATATGTCTGAAATCAGCAAAATCCGCGCACGCACATATTAATCTCGGTAAAGCTTTTGTACCGGTAAGTGTCATAGCTAGCTTCGTGACTATTCGTCGTTGCATTGTAATTTCTTTTTTTTTAATATATGTTTATGTTTGTTTTTTTTTTGTATCTGCATCACCGGTTTAACGACCGGCGACCCGCGACACCTCGCCGGCCTTTGAGATGAGGCCGAACGGCCACGCCGTTTGCGACGGAAATAGTTTCCGTCGCAAATTTACTGACGAATAAATGAAAATTCTGTTGCAAATTTGCGACGGATACTATGTGCCGTCGCAAATTTGCGACGGATACCTGATTTCGTCGCAAATTTGCGACGAATAAATGAAAATTTCGTCGCAAAATTTGCGACGGAGTTGAGTATCCGTCGCAAATTTGCGACGGAACATAGTATCCGTCACAAAATTGCGATGGATACTATGTTCCGTCGCAAATTTGCGACGGATACATTCCGTTTCGATCGCACATTAAAAATTATTAAAAAATGATTCTTAAGTGATTATTCTTTTTTGGGTATGTGCCTAATTGAAGGTCTCGCAATCCAAGTGGACGTTGCAATTCTCATCAAATTGATCACTTTCTCCTACAAATATTTCAGTCAAATATTTGAGTAAGTCTTCTTTACATTGTAATTTTTTCTATTTTTGCAATTTCATATTAATTGTTGCGTGAATAACAAAAATTATAATTTCCAAAATTTTATGGTTTTAATTAAGAACAATAGATATGATATTTTAAATATTTTACCAGAATTTTTATTTTAATACGAGACACAATGCAAAGAGAAAGGGCTTGGATGTATAATAAGAACTTACGGACGTCAAGGATTGACGGATGAGTTTAAATCTTGGGTTGGAACTATTTTTAGACTTTGCTAGTAGTAAATATGAGTTTATGGATGGAAATAAGTTAAGGTGTCCGTGTAAAAAGTGCGGTAATGGTAAATTTCTTGTGTGTAATCAAGTTAGAGAACACCTTATTAGATTTGGGTTTACTCCGAACTATTATAATTGGACTTCCCATGGTGAACCATTTATATCTGATGAAGGATATGGAAGAAGTGACCAATTTTCAGTTAGGGAAGAATGTGGCTATTATGAGCAATTGAACCCATACGAGAGGATGGTGATTGATGCAGCTAGTTATAATTTTGTCACAGAATCAAATCATGCAAGTACTAGTTTTACTCCTACACGTGAATAAGTGGGTACTAGTCATGCTTCACAATTGGAAGATATAGGAGTAACGGGTTTTGAGGAGAATGTGTATAATGAAACTTTTCAATCTAATCAGTTCTGGGATGTCTTGAAAGCAGCAGATGAACCTCTATGGGCAGGTTGTGAGGACCAAACTAAGTTATCGGTGACAGCCCGACTATTAAATATCAAGGCAGAGCATAATGTGTCTGCAGATTGCTTCAACTCTTTTGTTGAAGTAATGTGGGAATTATTGCCTCGTGAGAACAACATGCCAAGTGATTTTTATGATATGAAAAAGCTAGTGGATAACTTAGATCTTCCGGTTGTAAGGATTGATGTATGTAGTAGGGGTTGTATGATATATTGGAGAGATGATAAAAATGCAGAATCTTGCAAATTGCACTG